CCTATGGGGTCTGCGCTAACTGCAGTCATCGTCAGGACTGAGTTGCTTTATAGCACATCCTGTCAGTGTCCACTAGAGAGCTGGTTGTTGGAGACAAACACCCAGCCCCAATTTTGTGTTGAGCAGCAAGTGATGTGTGAGAGGAGGGAAATGCTTTGTTCTCTTCTGTCTCAGTCATATATTGTAGGATTGCATTTACACAAAAGGTAAATGGATCAGCAGTTACCAGGGGCAGGGTGAAGAAAGAAAAAGGGAACCAAGGCATGATTGTTACATCCCATATTTACTGGGGGGCAGGCGGTATTTGGTGGTGCTAGAGATGGAAACCAAGCCCTGGCACATACTAGGCAAGCTACCTACCACTGTGCTATATTGCCAGACTTCAGTCACTGTTTAATATGTATCTTGTCATAGTTTACAAAGTGTTATAAAGTCCAAAGAGATACTTATGTTTCTCTCTGAAGCTTTAGTGGCTGCCGCATTAAGCATGGAATGAATAGGAATTTCAGATCATGATAAGCACAGTGAAGAAACTAAAATAGGGCCTGGAAATAGGGCATAGTGAGGGTGGGAAAGGGCCAGAGTGGGCAGGGGAGGCTTCTCCTCTGAGAACAGGACAAGTGAGGTGAATGAGAGCAAAGAACTAGAGGTGAAGACATTGGAGCAGAGCAGTCTAGGGAGAGGAAAAAGCTAAATACCTTTAAAGAAACAGGACTGTTCTAGGTGTGCCGATCCACTACATATTCTACACCAGGTAGGCATGCAGTTGTTCTCTGTAGCTGCAGATTGGTTGCAGGAAGCCTCCATACCAAAATTTATAGATGTTCGTGACCCTTATATAAAATGGTGCAATTTTATATATGAAATATAGAAATTCTCCCATATACTTAAATCATCTCACTTAATATAGTTAATGTGATGTAAATAGGTGTCACACTATAGGGGAAAATGACAAGAAAAAACTGTGCATGTTTAGTATAGGTGTAATTTTTTATTTTTTGTAGTGGTGGGGATTAAGCCAAGGGCATCCCACATGCTAGGCAGGGGCTATATCACTGAGCCCAGTGATACAACTGTTTGTGACTTGTTTTTTAATGGTACTGAGGCCCAAACTCATAGCCTCGTATACACTAGGCAAGCGCTCTATTTCCCGGCTATACTCTCAGTCCTTTTAAAGATTATTATTTTGCAGCAAAGCATTGTGCAGTTTATTAAAAAGTACAAATACCAAGACCTTGACTAGTTAAAAGGCATGATAATTAAGGGAGGATGGAAAGGAACAAAAGAGAGGGGATGAAGGTGTAGCTCAGTGGTCGAGCATGTGGTTGGCATGAACCAGGTCCTGCCTTTAATCCCCAGCACACACACAAAAGTACAAAAGGGAGGCTCTGTTAGGAATGCCAGCTGGTAGGATTTGCAGTGCAAGATCGGATTTATCTGTTGTGATACGGCCCAGACCTTAAAACAAGCAGCATAGCCTTGCTAAGGAAGGCTGCCATAAAGTTATACCCTTATATACATTCCAGTGAATAGCAGTGCGTCCTTGGAAAACTGTCTCTTAGAGTTATTAGTCCTACGTTCCAATGGCCTTAAGTGAGTATACAGGGCAGGACCATCCTATTTAACATTTATCAAGTTCCTTTGTATGTCTGGCATTATACTAGGCAGTGGAAACAGTAGAAAGAGTAAGAAAAGACTCTGCTCACAAGGTTGTCAGTCTTGGCACAACAGTAATTAATAAAAGGATTCCCTCGTTTCCTGCTGGTGCTTGGCCTGGCAGATCAAAGCTGTTGGAAAACAATGGAATGGATTTTTTTCTTGAATATCCATAACTATCATATTTGAAGACAAAGAAATTAATGATATCAACTGTTTTCTAAGCAGCAGTCTTAGCAGTTTCTGCCTCTGTTCCTAGAAAAAGTACCAGGCACCAAGAAACCGTGCTAATTCAGTTATGTAGTTGTGAAGAACTAACCCATCAGAGTGTGATCACCAAGAGTCCTAGGGTCGATCTAGGAGAGAAATGTGGCTTCTGATGCAGAAAGACTCAATCACATGTGTTGACATTTTCTCAGAAGTGGGTTGAAAAGTGTAAATCTTGAGTAAGAGGCATTTTATTTCAGACACAATGTATTTTCTTGTGATTAAAATATTTCATCCACTAGCAATACATAGCTCTTATGTTTGAAAGCAGCTATGTTTTTTTTTTTTTTTTTTTTTTTGGAGGCAGGGTCTCACTACATATTACAGGCTGGCCTTAAACTTGCTTATGTAGTCCAGGCTGGCTTTGAACTCACAGCAATCCTGCTGCCTCAGCCTCCTGAGTGCTGGGATTACAGGTGTGCACCACCACACCCAGCTGGAGCTATGACTTTTATATCAATAAATTTTCTGCAAATCTGAGGACAATCACTTAACACCAACTTGAAAATGAATATTCTTAAGAAGGAGTTCTGTTGGGTCTCCAGTCGAGCTTTGTGTTAAAGCAGAGGCATACTTCATCTAACATGAAAAAAAAAACCACTACCAAAAAACCCCCATCTCAACAAAATAAACAAAAACAATTTCCACGAGATTTCAGAGAGCATATATCTGATAACTTAAAACAAGCCTTCTTATATTTACTTGTACTTTTTGTGGTGCTGAGGATAAAACATAGGAACATACAAATGTGGAAAAGTATTCTACCACTAAGGTGCATCCCCAGCCCCCACTCTTGTTATAATGGAGGTCTGTGGTTTCTTTGCATTTATAATGTCAACTCCCCAATGTTGTATGTTAAAAATGCATTTGTAATATTTGATAGTTTAATATTAAACACAAATTCACACCATTATAGTGTAGTATTTGCTTTAAAGGGAACATGACAGCTTTTTTTGTTTTGTTTTGTTTTTGCTTTTGGTTTTTTTTTTTTTTTTTTTTTGAGACAGGGTCTCACTACGCCGTTCAGACTGGTCTTAAACTCATTTTGTAGCCCAGGCTGGCCTCGAACTTGCAACGATCCTTTTGCCTCAGCCTCCCTAGTGCTGGGATTACAGGTGTGCACCACCATGCCTGGCCCGTCAGCTTTGTTTTTGACTCAGTTCATTAGGCTGAGTTCTTTTCTCTTTACAACACAGATGTTTAAAATTAAAATTCAGTCGGGTATGGTGGCACACACCTTCATCCCAGCACTCAGGAGGCTTGCCCAAGTTCCAGGCCAGCCTGGACTACATAGTGAGTTCGAGGCCAGCCTGAACTAGAGTGAGACCTTGTCTCAACCTTCCCCAAATTAAAATTCAGGGGGCTGGGGATTTAGCTCAGCGGCAAAAGCGCCTGCCTGACAAGCGCAAGGTCGTGAGTTCGGTTCCCGGTACCGGAGAAAAACCGAAAAACCAAAAAAAAAAAAAAAAAAGAAACAAATTAAAATTCAGATCTACAGCCAGTTTTTTTTTTTTTTTAAACAATCTAAGATTAGGAAATACTTTCTGTATGGCTACACTTTCATACTGTAGTTTCCAGGCAGGTGAGATGCATTGTATTTAGACTCCTTTCAGAAAAATATAGATTGGGCGCGGTGGCGCTCGCCTGTAATCCTAGTACTGGGGAGGCTGAGGCAGGAGGATCATTGCGAGTTCAAGATCAGCCTGGGCTACAAAGTGAGCTCAAGGCCAGCCTGAACTGCATAGCGATACCCTGTCTCAAAAAGACCCCCCAAAAAATGAAAGAAAAAGAAAAATATCAGCAATGTACTTTTCTCCTAATCCTATTCTTTTCCAACACTTTTTTGGAAAAAGAAAAAAATCCCCACAAACAACGTGCTTTTCTCTGCTTCATACAGTTTAGGACTAAACACAGATCATTTCTCTTTGCTTTCTACTTTCCCCAAATTTATCTCACCTGTATGAGATGCAGTCATTAAAGAAAACGGGAATACTTGAACAAATCACTTACTGCTGCATAAAAAAGCAAATCGGAGGGACCAAAATAACCCTATTAGTTAGGTGGGGGCTAGAAACATCACGGCCTATGGCAAACCTCCGCTTAACCTGCAAGCCTCTTGGCAGGGAGGAGGAAGGAATGGAAAAATTTAGGTGAAGGCTTCTAATGAGTAGTCAAACAGACTGAGTCATTGAAAGTTTCCAGTTAACAATCCCTTGTGCCTGGGCAGAACCTGGGCCGCAGCCTTTTATGAGCCACACTGCAGTTTAAATTGTAACATCTCATGGTTTTATTGTCTTGTTTCCAAATGGTAAAATGAAAGACATAAAATGCAAGACGCTTTGCATCAGCTTTGAAATATAGGGCAAAATCTAGCTGGGGGAGGGGAGGAAAGTGGGGAGATGGAGAACAAGGTAGGGAGAGTGAGGCAGAGAAAGCAGAAAAAGTGGTGAAAAGGCAAGGAATCATCGGGAGATAGGAGCCGCCCCCGCCGCCTTAGGTCTGCTGACTATTTTCCCTCGCCTGCTGCCCGAGTGGGCACTTCCTATGGATCCTTGGTCCGGCAGTGAGTTTCTCTAGGGCCTGTCCCCGCCCCCACTCGGTGACAGGTGGGGCAGCCAAGCTGCCACCAAATCTCCGCCTGTTCGCGCTGCCTGCTGGGAGGCAGACCCGCTTCCGGTTGCGCCCTGCCCCTGAACTCCGACTCCCGTCGGCCCCTGGGTGGGGGGGGGGGAAACCGCGGCGGGGTCGCGCAGGCGCTGCCGGAACTCGTAGTTCAATCTTCTGCCGTGCTCCGTAGCCGGAAGTGAGAGCGGACAGGGTCGGGAACTACCAAGGCGAAGGTACGGGTGGTGGGGAGGGGGTCAGTCTGCGCCGGGCGTGGGGTTGGTGGTGAGGTAGACGGCGGTGGTTGCGTTGGATGGGAGGAGATCCGTTCGCACACACGAGGAGGAGGGTTGAGCTCCCGCCGCTGCTGCCACCGCCGCCTACTGTCGTCGCGAGTGCCGACTTCGTACTGGAGCTGCCGCTGCGGCGACGCCGGAGATTGTGTCGCTAGGCGCCGGCCCTTCCGTCTCGCCGCCTTTCCTGGGTCAGCGCGGCCCGCTCCTCCCCGGCCGGACGCCCCCGCCTCCATTTCCCGCCCTCTCTTCACCACACACACGGCCCCCCCGATCATGGATCCCGGCAGCGGCGGCGGCGGCGGCGGCGGCGGGAGCAGCTGCGGGAGCAGCAGCAGCGACTCGGCGCCGGATTGCTGGGACCAGGCGGACATGGAAGCTCCTGGGCCGGGCCCTTGCGGCGGCGGCCCGGCGGTGGCGGCCGAGGCCCAGCGTGAGCACCTCAGCGCGGCCTTCAGCCGGCAACTCAACGTCAACGCCAAGCCCTTCGTGCCCAACGTCCACGCCGCCGAGTTCGTGCCGTCCTTCCTGCGCGGCTCGGCCCAGCCGCCGCCACCCGCAGCTGGCGCCACGGCCGACGACAGCCACGGAGCGGGCAGCGGCGCGGGAGGCCCCTTGGGTAAAGGGCTGGGGC